TCTAAACAAGGGTTCGGGTGCATATAATCCGGAGCAGCCCCCAACTACTGCCTTGCCTCCAGCCAGGCGCACAGAAGCACCCACAGACGACAAAGATCAAAGATATCAAGCGACGAAACAATTTTAGGGATGTTCGAGATCTTAGTAGTTTGGGGCCACGGTCGGATGAAGGCCACGTAAAACACTTTAGGGGGTCAAAGAACCAACAAATTATCAGGAATCGAGGTAGGTTTGTTGTAAAAAACTCATGAAATCCCAATAAGTCTTAATCATGGGTAGACGGGTTGCAAAGTGGGCGTTCTCACGATCGGCAGTTGTAAAGTGGGGATTCTCACACGGAAAACAGTGTCTGTGGTTGTAAAGTGGGGATTCTGGTTGTAAAGTAGGGATTCTGGTTGTAAAGCGGGTTAATCTCGGGGGGTGGGGGGGGAGGGTGGCAGGTGTTGGATGTTGGGCGCATCATACCAAGACCTCTGGCGCCCCCCCCCCCTCCCCCCCCCCTACCTCGAGCGAAGCGTTTGTTTACAAACAGCGCCTGTGTTTATAAACAGCCGTCGTGTTTATAAACACAGTAAAGGAAAACTAAAACAAATTTAACAAACCAACACACCGCGACAAGAATCCATGACAAGAATCCTTGACAAGGCGATACAGACATCAATCAATTCAACAAAAGATGCGTGAGCAGAAGGTTAAGAGCAGCAAGTAAGCATCACGAACCCGATCCAAAGGCCTACGTAACCTCAAAAACTCCTTATACACAAACGCAGGCCCCAGGATCGACCCTTCTGTAAACTTATATCTTGGCGGTACACGGTAGGTTCGACAATCGTGAGACCTGAACTGCAAAATCTGAGTGCATCGAGTTCCAAACCCTAAACCCTATACAAGCCCAAACGAAGTCAGTGACTAGGACCTAGAGCAGGCCCTTATTCCATTCTTTTAGGGTTCAGGTTCCCGTATAAGCCCCTTTAAACCAAGAAGGGCCCCCTTGTTATTCCTAGGTTACTCTTGGGTTTAGGGTTTAGGGTTTAGGGGGGTCTAGGTGAGCTAAACCCGACCCGAAGCCTTCAGTCCTTGTAGAACCCCTAACCCTAGCCCCTAACACTAGCCACAAACCCCAAAATTTCACCCATCTCGTCTAAAACACTTACAATGTTCAATGTAAAAGCCTAAATGACCAGCATTTTTGTTAGGGTTCCGTATCATAAGTATAGTGTGAAGGAGCCCAAACCCTCTTCTAAGTACAAAGGCCCCTATACTAAACCCCATAATGCCCCTTATGGAAACCTAATAGGACCCTTTGTAAGAACCGGAACCCTATTCCAAGTTGAGGCCCCTAAAGTAATATGCATGGTCGCCCAGGAGATGGAGGGTGAGCCGGGCGCGAAGCGGACCCCCTCGCGGCTGGGGCCCCGAGAGCGTTCGGAGGTCAGCCAAGGTGGCTAGGTAAGGGAGGAACCTCCTATAGCCCCAAAACAGAAGGATTCATATTGAGGAACCCTTATAGAGGCCCAAGGTTTCTTAATCAGGTTCCTACATGAGGGTTCAGGTCTAAACAACTATTAGTATTATTGTGGAGGTTCCGTATAATGGTTACAGTATAGTATACCACAAAGCTGATTATTGGCCATTTTACGGGTTTAGGTGCCGATATGCTTGTGCGATCCAACGGATGCTTCGAGCACTGCGACGTTGCAAGAGCCCAGAACCACCAACAACAACCCCTACATAAACCCCAAACTTTCCAATCTCTGAACCCCTGCACCCTTAAACCCTAAACCCTAAGCCCCTAAACCCCCAAATCCCTAGACCCTAAACCCTAAACCCCTAAACCCCTAAATCCCTTAACCCCTGAACCCTAAACCCCTAAACCCTACAGTCGAGGCTGGATGACCCGAGTCCCACTGCTCGGGCGACTCCAACCCTGGACTTTGAACCAGGCCGGGGGGGGGGGGGGGCCTTAAGATCAATTCATATATGGGCCTAGAAAGATCAATTCATATATGGGCCTAGAATTAGAATAGGGTTCCTTTAAGGGGTCTACAAGGGCTACCATAAGGGATCTATAAGGGTACTATAATGATAGGGGCCTTAATAATTAGAATAGGGTTCCTTTAAAGGAATCCTTTTAACGGGGTCTACAAGGGATCTACAAACCTCAAGCTCAAGATTCCCTAATTCCTTTAAGGGGTCTACAAGGGCCACTATAAGGGATCTAAGGGTACTATAATGATAGGGGCCTTAACAATTAGAATAGGGCTCCTTTAAAGGATTCTTGACAAGAGTCCTATTAGGGTTACTATATGGGGTATTATGGGGTTAGTATAGGGGCCTGAATGATTAGAATAGGGTTTGAAGTACATTCCATGTTGCACTGGGTGAGCTTCACCCACGCAGTTAAATTTAGGATGGCGTACACGACTGTGCGGAAAGCGGCATCACCAAAGATTCAGGTTCATGAACAAGACAGTAGTCATAGGTTTTTACACACATATGTACGGGCTTCTCAGAGGCGACCCGATATCCCTGCATGCCGCGCGGCATTCCTGTGACCCTAAACCCCCAGCCATCCTTGTCATAGCCTCTCCGCGGCGAGGTGACGACCTCTCCGAGTGTGGGGCGTGGGACCAAGCAGTAAACCTCAAGCTCAAGATTCCCTAATAATGTAGGGGCCTTGATAATTTTTAATAGGATTCCTTGGGGGTCTATAAGGGAAACTATAAGGGATCTATAAGGGTGCGAAAATGATAGGGTCCTTGATAATTTCAATAGGGCTTTGGGGTAGGCCCCACAGTAGTTCCTTTTTGTGGGTTCATGTTTAGAATCCATAAGGTAATCCCGACAAGGAACTGCTATAGGCCCCTGTAAGCCCCTAAACGCTTGAATCCTTAAGACGAAGGCGCCTGAAACTACAATCCCTAAACCTGAGTTCCTTGAGAGTACTTGAGTTGGGTTTACGGGTCCTGATACAAAAATGAAAAACAATGGAATGAACCGTGTGAAATGCAGCGTGCTTTTCCTTTTAACACAGCTCATCAACGCCTGAACACACGTACCAGAAACCAGGAGTCGTTCGTGAGGGTTTTCAATCTTTAGAAATCCTTGAAGTGAGTCCTGTTGTAGCCTTTACCGAGGATGGTACGGTGAACAACAAACGGGTGGTTGTCGGGGTCTATAAGGGATCCAGAAGGGAACTATACTGATAGGGGCCTTAATAATTAGAATCGGGTTTTGTCGTATATTAAACTATGTAAAGCTATAACAAGGAACCCCAAAAATAGTATAGGTAACTAGTAAGGCCCCTCAAGTATCGAGGTGATGGGGGTAGAGCTTGGGGGTGTTTGTGTGGCACGATCCGTTTCCTACGATTATCGTAGAAGTTGGCTTACTTGGGTGGTTGTCAAAATTTGGCTGTCAAAATCGTACTATATTCGGTTCAAGGAACCCTACTCTAAGTATTATAAGCCCCTATATTCCTTCGAGGTTTTGCCAGCTCCCCTGGACGATGCCTGTCCACCATCGAAGGACGTGCGTGGCAGAGTCCTCTCAGCGCGAGGTTAGCCTAGACTTAGCTCTGGTTAGTAGGGAATGGAGGAATGGGGTACAATTATAACTACTATTACTACCATTCTTCCATTCCCTACTAACCAACGTAAGTAGAGTCCAGCATCTACTGTAGGGGCCTTAACAATCAGAATAGGAATCCTTTGAAGGGTTCCTTCAAGGGCTCAATAAGGGATCTAAAGCAGGGTTAGGGTTTTGGGAGATATTATAATACTGTAATTACAATAAGGGTGTACAATATCTGTGCATGCATACATGCATACATACATGCATATGTATGTTTATGTACATATAAACACCTAATTAAACACACATAATTATATATATATATATATATATGTATGTGTGTATATATATATATATATGTATGTGCATGCAAGTAGAAATAGATATGTATTAGGGGAGGGCATTGGGTTCACCGGAGGCCCCAGAGCCCCGGCTGCCAGTGAACCCTGCGCTCTACACCCAGACCACTACAGAAACCCTAAACTCCAACCCCTAAGTGTGACTAAGCCCTTACTGGATCCTTCCAAAAAAACCTACTTTTTGGGATTCCCAAATATAAGTTCTGTATATACGTCCTCAAGAAGTTAGGCTACTTGGGGTTAAAGAAGCCACAATCATAACCCCCTCGGGTTGGTATTCGAGTTTCAGTCTCGGTCTTTGGGTTCGGGATACCAATAGGCCAAATAGTAAATAGGAATTCCTAGCCATGAATATTACTATAGGGGCCTTAATAATTAGAATAGGGTTCCGGTTCTTAAGAAGGGTCCTATTCGGGTTACTATATGGGGTATTATGGGGTTTAGTATAGGGGCCTTACTAATTAGAATAGGGTTTGGGGGCCTGTTATACTATAATCCTAATAGGGAACCCCCAAAATAGTATTGCATGGTAATTCTGTAGGCTCTTCAATTTGAGTCTTAACAGTTCTGGGTCGTAACTTTCAACCCCTGAACCCTGAACCAGAGACTGTTTGAGAGAGCTGATTTGCATCCGTTCTTGCATAGAAGCCGATCTGGATCGACGAAACCTAGTTCTTAATCCCTCAAGCCCTACTACACGGCCCTTCACCCTGAAACCCCAAGCCCAACAGAAGCAGTCGCTTAAAGCCATCTCGTTTTGCTTTTGCATACGCCCAAACCCTATTCGTATCAATCCTAAATAACATGTTGAAGCCCCCAGCGTTGGGAAGCGAGAGCACCCTGGAGTTTGTAAGGACGCCGAGCGGAAGTTTCGCCCTACATGAGACCTGTATATGAACCCCTCTCTAGTAATCTAGTAGGCCCTAAACCCCAAGCCCTAGACCCTAAACCCCATACAGGGAGCCCTAGTGTGTAGACCCTAGCCCCACTGTTATGACCTTCTGAGAAGGTCCTCCTGGATTTTAGTAGATCCCTCAACAGCCGCCAGTGTGCTGTGCCATAGAAATCATGGCCTTTGGCGTGCTTTTGCTTCTTCTGGGGCGACGCGGCTGACGGTTTGGGGGGTTGTAACGAGAGCCCAATGCCCTCTTAAACCCCGAACCTTCGGCCCAAAATCTCACGCCCGAGTTTGGGTCCGCGCGGGCGGGTGAATTCCTGGCTGGCCGATTCGCACTTCGGGTCTTTCCGGTAGTCGGGTGCTAAGAGGGGTAGTTGAGTGAAGACTTGTTTCGCCTGCTGTTGAGAGCAGTCTGATACGCCAATTGCCGTCGATTTGCGGGTCGGGCGTCAGTTTCGAGTTCATTGAGGTTTGTGGCTAGCCGTGAAGCCACTGCCCGTCGATCCTTTTCAAAAGCAGTTTGAAGAACCTGCTTCATTGTATTAGCCGTCGTCGTCCTCGTCATATGTCGTCATCATCATCGTCGTCATCGCCTCGCCTCATCAATCGTCTTCATGTTATCATCACTCTTGTCAATGTTCCTAATCACGGTTATTATGGCTATGCTTCTCGTTCTGGTTGCGAAGGTTACTCGTATTCTTCTGCTTCATTACGACTCTTATTGTTGTTACTACCACTATTCAGCACTCTTCATCAGCATCAGCATTGCATCAGCAACATCATCGCTATCGCCATCGTCTTCACTATCAAACTGTCCTTCTTCTTCTTCAAGGACAGCAACAGCCGCAGCATTCAATGTTGAAAGACTGTTGTCCGGTTTGCGATCGGTAGTTTCTCCCTAAACCCTAAACTCTAAACCCTAAACTCTAAAGCTTAAACTCTAAACTCTAAAGAATACTCCAAACCCTAAACCGAACGCCAAGCCAAGGATTCTTGGGACGAGCGGAAAGAAGAGGCTGTGCCCGGCCGGCTGCAAGTGCTCGGCAGGGTGGCTTGCTTTAAATGTGGGGCCTGGCCCGACCCAACACCCTAAAAACCCTAAACCCTGAACCCTAAACCCTAAACTAAAGCCCTAGGCCCTGAACCCTAAACCCTAAACTAACCCCTAAGCCCTAAACCCTAAACTAAACCTTGAACCCTAAACTAAAACCCTAAACCCTAAACAAGATCCTCAACTAAAACCCTAAACCCTAAACAAAAATCCTAAACTCAAACCCTAAACCCTAAAAAACAAAAGTCCTAGAGATGCCAGGCCCGGGGGCGGAGACTGCAGCCAAACCGCGGAGTGCCCGCGCCTGCGCCGCTGGCCCGATGCCTCGGAGTATCCACCAGGCGCTTTAAGGGGTTTGGGGTTTTGAGGTTTTAGTGGAGTTTGGGGGTTTAGGGTTTAGGATTTAGGGTTTAGGACTTTAGGGGGTTAGGGGTTTAGGATTTAGGGTTTGGGGTTGAGGGTTTAGTGGAGTTTGGGGGTTGAGGGTTTAGGGTTTAGGGAGTATCCACCAGGCGCTTTAAGGGGGTTTGGGGTTTAGGGTTTAGGCGCTTTAAGGGGTTTTGGGGTTGAGGGTTTAGGATTTAGGGTTTAGGACTTTAGGGGTTTAGGGGTTTTGGGGGTTTAGGATTTAGGGATTGGGGTTTAGAGGTTTTAGGGTTTAGGGGTTCAGGGGTTAAGGGTTTTGGGGGTTGAGGGTTTAGGGTTTGCCTGGAGCCTCCCGAACCTACCTTTTTAGGGTTCCCCATTATGATTTCCTTATATAAGTCCTTAAAAAGGTAGGCTATTGGGATGAAGGTCGGGTTTAGTGTGGAGTTTGGGGCTTCTAGGGTTCAGGGAGAGTTTAGAGTTCAGGGATGCTTGGGTTCAGGAGAGTTTTGGGGGTTGAGGGGTTGAGGGGTTCTTTCAGGGTTTCGGGGAAGTTTAGGGTTTTGGGTTTAGGGTTTTGGGGTTTAGGGTTTAGGGTTTAGGGTTTTGGGGTTTAGGGTTTAGGGTTTAGGGTCCAGCAGGGTGGGGTAATCATCTCTCGGACAGCTAGGGCGGCTTACAAACCTCAAGGGAGACGTGTGTCTAGAAGGGAGACAGGGTTTCATGTGAGACGTCAAGGCACGCCTACACCCTTGATCCCTAATCATTAAATACAGCCTATCAGCCGCGAAACCCTCACGGAAACCTCCCCTCGGTGACATGAGTCTGAGGGAGATCAGGCTTCCAGAAGTCTGGAATTTGGATACTTTGGGATTTATAGCTTCGAGGATGATAGCCTAAAACCGTCCCATATTGCTGCCGGCTCGGGTCTGTAGGCACTCTAAGTAAATACCGATACCAGTGTGTGGGTTCCTTGTATAATATACCCCCCAAACCCTATGGTCCCAGAGTTTAAGGCTCCACAAGATCTGGGCCGCAGCAACCATGTAATGTAAACATAAACGGCGTAAACCAACCGTGCTGCGGAATCTAGGTGTCGGCAGGGTTTTGGGGACCGTGTTACTTGGTTTGATGTTTGGTCGTCGACGTTTAATCAGATTCGTGCAAGACTCTGCAGGACGAGCGTTCTCTCTCTAAAGTCGAAACCCGCAAGCCATGTCTCGACTGTAGCGGCTAGGGTGGAGGGTCTCAGGGCGTCAGGTTTGAGGGATTAGGCTTAACGCCTTGAACCCACCAAAATCCGGAACTCTTGACTTCAACTCGGTTTAGGGCTCAAGTTTGGCCAGGGGTGGATTGCCTCTTCGTGAACAGCCCAAAGCTGCGCAGATTGCAGCCCCCGCAGCACCAGGTCCCGCCTTCTGCAGGGCCAAACCTATGGGAGTTTCGGAAAATGGGGGACCCTAATACGGTCCCTTAAGAGAGCCATCAGTACGGCTAAGAAGGGTGCCCTTTAAGGGTCTGCCTTATACTACCTAGCAGAAGCCTGGGGGACCCTAATATAGTACCCTAAATATCATAGGTTCGTTATCATAAGGAACGGTACCGCTAATTTTCATAAACACTCATATTGGTACGTGATATCTTTTTCTGAAGCCTTCCAGTACAGGGCTCAGGCTTACTATTTGTCAGAACAGATCTGAATCCGTCACAGACCTGGATATCTAGCCTCCAGCGGATCATGGCAACGCTCTAACTTTCAGCAGCTTCGACTGCATAGCAGGAACAAATATGGCCAACATGCTCGACAATCGGGACCTTGATGGTTCGGCCATGACTAGATATCTAAGTGTTTCATAATATAAGACACCCGAAGCTCCAACTTCTATTCCTTGAAGTGCATAAAACCCTCTGAATAACTGTCTCACAATCTCTGTTCAGGATACGACAGAGGCTTGCATTAGTAGCAATACTATCCAGCGGAGTTCCTTGTTGTAAACCCTGGTGGCGACCACCAACCCCGTTCCAGTTAATCATGATGCTACAGGCCTTTGCCTGCCTCCCCTAATTCAATCTGGAACCTTGGGCCTCAATCTCCAAACCCCTACAAATGGCCTCGACGAAAAATTAGAACACGAATAAATACAAAATCTGAACTACGCAACACATGAACCCCAAGAGAGATGCCCTAAACCCTAAACCCTAAACCCCTAAACCCCTAAACCCTAAACCCCTAAACCCCTAAACCCTAAACCCCTAAACCCCTAAACCCTAAACCCTAAACTCAGAAACCTTCGGCCTTCCAAACTCAATTCCCTGAAACCCTCTGGCCTTGGAACCTCAAAGCTCTAAGTAGCATCCACGTGACTAGAAACCATATGAAATAGAGGAACCTTAGGTACGGCCCCCACTCAGTAATAGTCGCATGATATTCATAACATAGATATATTAGGACCTTACTAGTAGCCCTATTATAGACTCTTACTGAAAGGGGGCCGTACCTAAGAGGGACCTGATTATGAAACCTCGGGTCTTTTGTTGGGGTACCTTATGTGAAGCCTAATGTATTGGGGCTATAGGGCCCGGGTTTCTGAATCAGGTTCCTACGTTAGGAACCCTGTATACTTGAAGGCTCATGGGACTTAGTAAGTAAGGTTATAATTAGGATAACCCCACTTCGGGGACTTATAACCCCAATTATAAAACTACTTACGAAGTCCCTGATCCTCTAAGTAGTGACCCTTATAGACCTCGAGCTCCAAAGTCGATCGGAAGGCCGGATTAGCCGCAATTCCAGACTCTATCCGACGACTGGACCTTGCATGAGGGTTTAGCGCGCAAGGTTTAGGGTTTCCTTAAAGGTTCCTTCTATAAACAACCAAATCTTAAGGAGGTTATAAGGGTTTAGGGTTTAGGGCTCCAGGTTTCTATGTGTTGAACCCAATAGGGTTTAAGCAAGTTTAAGGCTTAGAATGTTGTGTGGGTTGTGGCGTGCGATGTTGGGTTAAGGTTTACGACCTCAGGCTAACAATTCAAGCCTACATGCTTTGATTCAGGGTTTAATGAACAACAGCCACGCTTTCAGGTTTCGGGGGCTTAGGGTGTCGGGTTTGCAAGTGGTTGCTCGGGTTGGAAAGGCAAAGTCCGGAATCTTCAGCTTCATAATCTCGGTTCCTCCGAAGCGCCAAGCTCCACTTAAAGGATCATGGGATTTAGTAATTACGGTTATTATTAAGGTAACTTTACTTAGAACCCCAATTACCGTACTTATGACCATACTTACTAAGTCCCATGATCCCCCAAGCAAGCCATCTTCAACCCTTAAGTTCGGCAAGGGCCCATACTGCCCTCGCCCTCAAACTCAATTCCAGAACCCTTGTATCTCGGCCCTCGCGGGCTGCTACGAGTGCTTGCGTCCAAAACCCTGAAGCCTCAACCCTGAACCTTACATCCTGAACCCTATACGGGAGTTTCCGAACATAGGGGACCCTAAGAAAGTACCCTAAATAGTAGGATCCTTCTTATAAGGACCCCTAAATAAGGTACACCTAATTTTCGGAAACTCCCATATAGCCTCTAAACCATAAACCCACATGTTCAGTTCATCCAAGCGCTGCCAGGACTTGTCCGGGAGCCGGCTTCGGATGCTGCCCCCCAAGGCCACAAAGGGCCACAGAATCGACTGATGCCAAGATCGGGCTGACCACTTTTGAGTTTGGGGCTTTAGGGTGTATTGCCGTGGTTCTTCGGCTCGCTTGTTGACGCAGACTCTACAACAATATAGGGGCCGAAATAATTACCAAAACTGTTTTGGGGCTCCTTGTGGCAATTATGTTAATTATGGTTTCATGTGCACCCCAAATCCCCATTCTAAGCACTACATCTCCCATGTTAGACTCCTTTTGCGCCGGACGAGAATTCCCATTGCTCCAGGTGTTTATCTGACAGTAGACTTCCAGATTGGTTGCCTGGCGTTCTGCCTAGGACGCCTTCTGCATTTCCAGGCTGCCCAGCTGTTTGTTTTCGTTGATGTGTGACCGGCATGTGTAGTGGAGTGCTCCTTGAAACTCAGATCCCGCACCAAACCCAAGGCCTGTTATTTCTTAAGCGACAGGCCTTTTCGCACCTCAGCTCTCTGCGAGTGCTGCTCCTCAGCTGCAGGGAGCAGATAGGGGCGCCCAAGCTCGGGCCGTCACGTTGCCTCGAAGCTCAAGCTTTCGAACCTACCGAGGGATCCCGTTCCAGATGAGTAGAGTACGCAGTGATAAACTGGTTATTATAAGACGTAGAGAGGAAGCGTATATTGATTATGGCAAGCTTCGGCCTTCCGTGTGTTCCTTCGTGCAGGAGCCTGCGTTTAAACTCTCCGGTCCTTCCTCGATACGGATCCTTTTAGTCACGGAGATGTAGACCCGGTCTTATTCGATCCCATAGGCCCTCCGATTCAGGTTCTAGAGCCCTCCGAAGCCGTTCTCAAGACTTTGCATAAGCCGGTTTATGCATGATGCCAAACTCCTCAACCGAAAACTGATACCCTAGAAAACCCCTCAAGCCTTGAGCACCCCAAAACCCTAGCTTGGGCCCCAGACTCCAGCCCTAGACCAATAATAGAAATTATAGTAAAAATAGCCATGATAGTATCAACATTAATAACCAGAGCATACAGTAATAGAGGGCACTGAGCCCACAGAGACGTCCTGCCTATTACCCAACCTCTGACCACAAGCCACCAAAACCCCTTTTCTTGAATCCCTAAACTCACGATGCCCTAAGCCCTTCAGGCTTTAAATCCTTGTAGAACCCTTCTACACCCCGTATAGACCCCTACAGAACCCTCGTAAAATCCTGAAGCAGGCAGAAGCTATACTAAAAGCACTATAAGGTCCTGGTGCAAACCGTTTAGGACCCCAAAACACCCTATTAACTGCCCAAACCAGGAACCTAGAGTTCAACGAACTGGAGGAGTTGCCCGACGAAGCCTCAGATGTTCTCCATGCACTCCGTACTCAAAGATAGAGGTCAGAAGAGTCAGTAATAGTATCCCCTAAAAATCCATTGGATACAGCCCTAAACCTTAAACCCCAAACCGACAGATCTGTCGAACAGGGGCCCTTAAAACCAAAAAACGATAGCTCTTCAGGTCCCCATAGTTGCGCGCCAGAGCGCATAGAGGTTCATATGCTTGACGGCCAGGAGGTGGATCTTGTAGAGGGCCATGATAAGAGCATGGGTGCAGAGGTAGTGTCAGTCTTCATTCTTGTCTTTCGGATTGCGACTTTTTGCGGTTCATGGTTACCCTCAACCTTAAACTCTAGACCCTAAACCCTAAACAGGCCTGCCTCTTTCAGCTTTAACCGCTATACCTTATAAGCCCTAAGCTTTAAGCTGCTTTAGATCCCATGTCCGCTACATGGGTGTAGAGCATAGGGGGCCACGCACCTTCAAACCATGAGCCAATGGAGTTTTGGTGTAGGGGTGTCTGTGCCTACACCGGTTCAGAGCCTCAAAGTTAAACCTCCAAGAAATCGTATGGGCTTCTGAAAACTAGGAGTAATGTAGAAACCTGATCAAGAAACCCTGGGCCTGTAACCCCCAAAATAGTAGGGTTCATATAAGGAACCCTCATAAAGGCCCAAGGTTTCTTAATCAGGTTCCTACATTACCATCCTCTGATTTTCGGTCTGCATCTGGCTGTCTTTTTGGAGACTCCCAGCTTGCCTGCTCAATTTTGCAGTCGCATTTGGAGGTGACTGGAGAACTAAACGACATGCCATACTTCGGGCTCGTCTGCGTGAACAAAGTCCTATAGAAGTTCGCATTAGACTAAAACCGAAACTTTCTTGATCCGAATCCTTGAAGAGTTAAGCCCCTAAGACCCCCACAGGCACGTATAGTTGGCTTCCCAGCTCTGATTTGTATTGTTTACTGGTTATCATAATGTAGCTTGCAACCCTAGTATCCTAGACTTCAAACCCCAAAAGTGATCAATCGGATAGCGGAGCTTCTGGCGGCCCTGAAGCCCTAAACCCTATCTACGCCAAAAAACCCCCATGCGCCGACAGCCTAACGCCGAACCATGAGCCTGAAACCCCACTGAGGCGGATGCCCTCCACGGCCTGGCAAAGTTGAAGGTGCTGTTAGGGTTTGAAGATGCTTCAAGTGCTTAGGGCCCGAAACACGGGGTTTTAGGGCTTTGCGCTTAGGATTTTTTGGGTCTATGGTTTCATTTTTGTTGGTCTTCCTCTTTTGGGTGTTGCCCAGGAAGGAAGGAAGTACGGAAGGACGGAACACACACCAGCAAGGTCTCATAAGGTTTCCATTCAAGTTCCAACTAGCTAGGTCCTGTATTTGCTGGGTTTTTTGGTGGCGTTTTGGGGGTTTTGTTGGGTTTAGCACTTTTTCGGCTTGTACGGAGTTGAGGAGGTTTTTTTCACAGGGGCGTTTCGAGTTGTTGATTCGGTTCAGTGTTTTGGGTTTGGTGCATGGGTATCAGGGTTCAGGGCCGACAGCGGTCGCAGGATTTAGGAATCTACGACTTCTGGGGCTCTTGCAGTAGGGGCTACCGGGAGCCTAAATAACCTACCTTTTTAAGGACTTATATAAAGAAATCATAATAGGGAACCCTAGAAAGGTAGGTTCTTTAGGCTCCTGGTAAACCACAGGCCCCTCAACCCTAAACCCTAAACCCTAAGTCAGTCTTGTAGGGTTTAGGAGATCCAGGTGCTCTGGCTCACGGGCAACCACTACTCCCCGAATGAGCGGGAGTACAAGAAGATGAAGGCGGGAGGCTAAGCCCCGGAAACCCTAAATCCCTAGGTTCCAGAGTACTACCCTTTTGCCCTGTTCATTTTAGGGTCCCCCTACTTAAAACCGAATAGTAGGACAAAGGGTACCCTTATTACAAAGGCCCTAAACCCTAGACTAAACCCTAAACCCTAAACTCTAAACCGAAGGAGCTACTCAGGAACAGAGATCCTACACTTGATCAGTTGCTCTCACCATGAAAAACGTAGTGGGGTTTGGCAGTGGTGAGGTTTAGAGGGTTTAGCATTGCGAGTTTGGATTCGAGAATGAATGTTTGTTATTACCGCTTTTGATGTACAGTGGAATACAGACGAAAGCCACATTTGCAGTCGTCTCGGCCTTTGCGCTGACCCAACAGACATAGACGACACGAAGCCCGAACCCCAACCGAAACTCGAAGCCTTCGACCCCCAAGAGGCCTCAATTATCAGAACAGGGCTTGGGGCACACTATGCTGCACATACCTTAGGGGTACTTAGAAATAATCTTTAATTTTTGGTTATTATAATCCCTAAGAAACAGCTAAATTACAATTTTTGCTAGGGTTCTAAGTTCAGTATAAATACAGGGGTTATGGTGGGACGGTGTCACTAACCGCTGACTATTCCGGAAGTCTTCAAGTCTTAGATAACCCTTAATGCAAAATCGTGCAGGGGATGCTATTGCTGAATTTTCCCGCCCCGTTTTTACGGATCAAGTCGCAGGTTGCTGGGAATCGTTTGCGCCAGCTTCATCCGCAGCAATTCGACCCTTCTTCTGCAACTAAGTAACAGGCGTTTAGGTTTAGGTTTTCGGGTTTTGGGTTGGGATCTGTTGGGCTTCAAGGTTGGGATTTCTCTGCGTCGTAAAGCGCAAGTCTTCAACAAGGATGTTCGGTCTGCTCGGAAGTGGTCTTACTTGGGTACTTTAGCAGCTGTCTCGCATCACATGTCATGCATACATAACAATATACAGCACAATACATAATATATGACTCAAAGGGAGTCACTCTTCGAAGCTTTGCATGCGAGGTCGATCATGCTTTGCAGTTTCCAGCACATACATGCAGCCTCCTCCATCAGGACAGGGATTGTAAGCCCCCACTCCTAAGCCCGAAACCTCGAGCCTTGAATCCAAGCCCTATCGCCAGAAGCCTTGAAGATCCGATCTAGGTTCCTGAGTAGTGCACTGTTGTCCCTTTTAGTTAAGGGTCCCCTTATTGAACCCGAGCAGCAGCAAAAGGGTATCCTTAATACGAAAGGGCTACTCTGGAACCCTAAACCCTAAGCCCTTATAGTACCCTTATAGACCCCTTTGTTACAAGGAGCCCTAAGCCCTAGAACCCTATGAACCCTATCAGACCCTGACACCACAACACCGATCCAAGGAGGGCTTGAACAGCCTCCAAGTTCTACTGTTGCATCACAACAGGTGGGTGGTTGTCAAAATTAGGGTCCCTTTTTGGGTCCTTATTATAATACGGCACCTATTATTTAGGATACCCAAAAACGGACAGTAATTTTGACAACCACCCAGGTGTGGACTGCAAGAGAGTACAGGGTTGAGGATGCAGGAAGTAGGGCATCATTTTGAAATTTAGGAGTTCCGGGTTTAGGGCGTGCCATTTGGGGTGAAGGGATGTTAAGGATTCAGGGCTTCAGCGTTTAGGCTTAATGGTCTGGGGTTGAACGCGGGCTATTGGATCCGGAACGGGCAACTTTGAGAGAAGAGTTCCTCGTGGCTTGCGCATGCGGCACTTCAGAGCTCTGGGTCTGGTGTTTCCTGACATGGCTAGTGAAAGCTGAATCTAAACCCGAAACTCGAAATAACCCTAAACCCTAACGCGATGGGCACATGTCATCCATAGCTCAAACGTGTGTCAACTTGCGCAGTTGCCCAGAAACTGAAACAAAGTGCTCACACCCCTGCCATTGGCATCCAAGAGCGCACTTCCTGAACCTGAAACCCCTACAGTGAACTGCTTAGCTCCAAGCTTTGAGCTCTAACCCTAAGACCGTACCCACTAAACCCCTAAACCCTTCGCCCCTAAAACCCAAGCTTTAGCTCCTTAACCGTGTATCCTGCAGGCTTGAGACCCTTCCCGACACCCTCTTCGACGGCTTGGCAAAGCTCCGATCCCTGAGCATTCAGTTTCAGACGCTTAGGGGTCTAGGGGGTTTAGGGATTAGGGTTTTGGGTTAGGGGTTTAGTTATTGAGAGGGTTTTGGGTTTCAGACGCTTAGAGGTTTAGAGTACACGGTTTAGTTTAGGGGTTTCGGGTTTCAATACAGGGAGCCTTCGCAGTTTAGACAGCTAAAGAAACACAGATCGGCTTGAAAAACCATGATAGTATCCTCTTAAGAGGTTCATACATATGTATTTACATATATACATATGTACATATGTGTGGGTGTGTATATATATATATATATATGTATACACACAGACATACATATCCGTAGTATAATATATAATGTATATACACATACATACATACATACATACATACACGCACGCACACGCACGCACACGCACACACTGCCCTTCGACACCTAGATCTTATTCCAGCTATCAATTGTGACTTTCTTACAAGGGCTTCATATCGAAGGCCACACACAGGAGGCCTCATCTAGGGCTCGGGAATTCGGCACTACTAAGACTACCCCTGTGCAGTCCCCAACTAGCTAGTTGTAGTGTTATATACCCCCGGAAAACCCAAGCCTAAACCCTAAACCTGAAAGGTCCGTATTCAGTCTGCTTAAAAGGGCAACCCTGGGCCGGCCGTTGGGTTTCGGGGGCTCAGGCTGATGGCAACTATCGCCTTTGGACCACATTCTGAAGCCTTCAGGCCAAGCTTAAGACTTAGAGGGCTGAAGCCCTAATTCGAAGATGGCACAAAAAGCAGAGGAGCCAACAACGAAGCCTGGATTGCGTCGAAAGCCTAAATCGCAGATTCCGTAGACCCTATCTGTGGATCAAGTAACTTATTGTTTCGAGGCTTACTCCGGTTATACTCGCTTGCAATCATGGGGTCACAACCTACGATTTTTTCGGGCTTCCGGCTGTTGGCAATAAACTCTGAGTGCCGGTACTGCAACGCCCGGCATGCTTAGGAGTGTTGAAGCTGCTGGATAACCCTTTCCGTCCGAGACTCACCAGGCCACTTGCAACAAACACTTGGCGAAGTGTTTTGGATTCAGGTGATTTAGTTTGCTTCGTTCTGTCCAACTCGTAGAGTCTAGGATTCTATGGCTCGTAAGCCTAAAGCCCAGTTCCGAAAACGATTGATTTAGATTTACTAAACCCGAATCCTCAGTCCCCAAACCCTGAATTTCGGGTTTCGATTTGTTCGGGCCCTTGCAGCGTCTTTGCGGCGCGCCGATGTTTGCCAGTGCGTTTTGTCTTTGCTTCGCATTCTATGCCTAGTCAAGTCCCTCTTGCACATGTTTCCTTTTGCTGATTGCTCTTGCCATACCGTTGTCCAGTTATCCCGGAACACTTTGTATTGTTGTTGCACGAGTTTCGGAGGCTTCAAAACACTAAGATCCAAATCTAGACGCAAGATTGCAGGGCCCTGGTTATGAGCACCCCTGCATATCGCATCTGGATACTACTACTGTACTCCTATATCTTGATTTTGTAGGGCATTCGTAGAGGTTTCAGAGCATCAACCATCCATAATTATCACATAAGTTTCAGTTTCGGAAATATTCAGGCAATGCAGAATATCATCTTGTCATGATCGAGAGCAGTTGCATGGGATTAAAAGTGCAAGACACGCCCCCTGCTCCCCCACCTGACCCTCCCAACTATCAGAAAGTGTGTTTTCAGATCCAGCTGTATGGGAGTTTCAGAAAACAAGGGCCCCTTTGCTGGACCGGAAAATGAGAGGAGCCCGCTTATCAGTGGTCTTCAATATGACCCCGACGTTTGCGAAATTTGTTGTAGAGTTTGCAACACCTTCTACAACCCCTTATGAAGCCCTTACACAGCTGTAAGATAAAATAGACTACTTGTAGACGTAGCAGTAGACGTAGCAGTAGCACCCTAGAGGAGCATCACAAAACTCTCTATCACACCTCAAAGTGCGCCGGAAAAGCACCCGAGTTGAAGGAAGGCGGCTGCAAGGCCGCTGTCGATTGGAAGTTGGAGCCAACCACAGGAGGGCGTCGGATGCGGGTTGAGTATAACATAAGGAATAAGGACCTTATATAGGTGGAATAGGAAATTGGGTATATTATACTCCCTGAGGACTTGCGGTAGTTAGCAATCCGCAGTATGGTCTACGGGAACATGACCCTAAACCCTAAACACCCTAAGCCCTACGTCTGAACCCCCTTAGCCCTAGATCCTGGAACCCTAAACCCAGGCCTAAACCCCCTAAACCCTAAGCCCTGTGTGCTTCGCCCCTTTTTGAGCACACGAAGCCGAGGTCCCATCCGGCCTTCGTCAAGGCTTTGGAGGTCGGCGTGCTGCAGCAGCTGGACCTCGATGAGGAGACTTGTTGATAATTGGAAAAGGGCTCCTTTAAAGGGGCCTTGAAAGGGTCGATAAGGGATCTTGAATAAGAGGGTCCTATATTAAGGGTATTAGAATAAGGCTCCTTTGCACGGTTGATAGGGTTTTAGGGTTTTAGGGTTCAGGGCTTTGGGTTTGTAGGTTTGTAGGGTTTAGGGTTTAGCCTTCGGGGAGTTTTTCGTAGCGCTTCTAAGAGGGCCCACGGATGCCGGTCGGAAACCTGCTTGCAGGAATCAGTAGAAGTTGCAAAAATATGCCCATTCCGAATCACACTAGCCCTCTAAACTCCAAGCCCAACCCTATACCCTAAACCCCTCCCCCCCAAGCCTAGTCAGGACTCCGGTGATTCCCTGGAAGACGAGTGGGAGGAGACTTCGACACTTGGAGTCGGAATTGAACGCTTCGGAGGTCTCTATAGAGGGGAGTCTCCGAAACCGAGGGGTACCTCATTTTGGGGTCCTTATGACAAGGATCCTACTATTTAGGGTACTATATTAGGGCCCCCTTTTCCGGACCTTCACAGCATAAAGAAAACTCGGTCAAGCATAAGAGTACCAGGTCTAGCAGCTAGCGCAAAAACAACCCGCCATGGGTCCAGCATAAGAAAAAGCGGGTTATAGCATAAGAGAACATTCGCTGTCCTATTGTTTTCGGAGACGCCCATATCTCCTAGGTAGTATAAGGGAGACCCCTGAAAGGATACCCTTCTTAGCCCTACTTATGGCTCTCAAAATAAGGGACCTTATTGAGAGGTCTATATCCCCAAGGGCTCCCCTATATAATCCCAGCTGCTTCGGAGGTCTTATATGATTATACGCAACAGAGTATCTCTAAGCATGTAGTCTTGAGCTTACTGCAGGAGGTGATTTCTTGTTCTTGCTGAGCTTTCTCCTTTGTTCCTTATTCTTCTTGGCAACCTGTGCGTGCTTCGTCGCGCTTGTACATGATGGGTTACGCATGTGTTGTCTGCATTGTGCATCACATCATTCTCTCCTCCGAGTGATGTTGTGCTATGGTGTCCTGGCTCTGCAAGGCACCAATAGCCATCACAGTGCTGTAAGGACCCTGCCGTTGAAAAGGGCTTCTTGTTCTGAGGAATTTGGGGCTTCGGGTATTTCTCGCATTATTTTCTTGTGGGGTTGCACGTCTGCGTTTGTCGAGCTCCGCAGCCTTACCCCAACCTCTTACATGCTGAGGCCTTGCCTAAACCCAAGCCAGAATTCTGGAGTGCGCCCTATCGTGCTGAGGACTTATCTCTCCGACGACTTCTCAGATGGGCCCTTGCCAGAGTCAAAGCACTTTGGCGATCGACAACTGCAGGTAGAGTCTACTTTGTCGTTGTTGTTGCTTCCGCTCATGCAGTGCTGCCACTGCTCCTATGGTGGTTATGATTGCTGCTAATGCACTCCTACTTACCTAGACCCAGAAACCAGCGGTGCATCTCCTCTGGGGTTCTTGATGTCGAAGCCTAGCGTAGGGGCCCAAACAAATTACCCATACTATTCTGGGGTGCCTAATTTATATTATAGTCATAGTATCATAAACCCCCCCAAACCCCATAGTAAGCCCTTAGCCGCAAGACAAGCACCCGAGGCACCGGGAGGACCTGTAGCAGCGCACAACGCCGCTGGCGCAGTGAGTTCTGCGATGCGCAGTGGGCCCTGTGATCTAAGGAAGCTTAGGCTTACCTAGACCCCCAAAATAGGTAAAATAACGGCCGAAAACCTATAAAAGGCCATTATTCTACTACATACTTTTGGAGTCCAGGTAGGGATTTGGGCGTAGTTAGCATGTATAGAGCCTAGGAAGCTCTAGTAATACCACCTCCCGAGCTGAATCGAAATCCCGATCGTGTGAGGTTTGTGGTATATACCTCCCAAGGGTGTCAGGCTTAGAGTAGAACCCTAGCTAAACTCCTAAGCCTACAGACCTACCATTACAGAAGAGGCAGCAGCAAATGGTAGTAATGCGTAATTTTGAGAGTCCCCTGGCTGTAAGAATCCCTTTCTAAAGCCCCTGTTAACCACGTAACCCACGCAAACCCGACAAAGCCTATCTCTGCGCTTGCCGAAGCTCGCCCGCCACTTGAAAAAGCCGGTTCTCACGAGGGTCAGGTGCGGGGTTGCTGCATGGCCGAATTTAAGGTTTCAAGGTTCAGACTTTGTTTACAGACTGGTTTTACACGGGTTCTACAGTGATTCTACAGTAGGGTTTGAAGGTTTTTTTGGTTTGGATTCGGGTCCAGACTGGCGTTTGGGGCGGAAGCTCGACAGTCATAAGCCCGATCATGACACTAGGTAGCCAATGGGGCATGCATTGCTTTCCCGTGCCAACCCAGCCCAGTACTGGTTTTGACATGTGGGAGTTTCCCAAAAGTACGGGACCCCCAAAAAACCCAAAAAAGTAGTGGGAGCCTTCTTAGTATAAGGACCCCAAAATGAGGTACCCCTCATTTTCAGAAACTCCCTTATAGAGACCTCCGAAGTCTTGTAGTAACACTTGTAGTAAGTCCGTTCGCAGCTAAGGCGTTTTTTGTCGGCCCACCCCGGGGTTCATGTTCACAGGTCATAGGTTTGGGGTTTGCATAGTACGTCGAAACCTGAATAAGCAACCACTATTATTCATAAACCTGCCATGAAGAACCCTTGACTGCAAACTATTTTGAACCGCAAACCCTCCAAGCCAACGAGCCGGCTAGCAAAGACAAGTGGTCGTAAATGGCCCTCCAAGCGTGCAGTTTCCACATTTTCAGGAGGCCCACAAAGACGACTTCCTTCCCACTTTGGCCTCTGAGGCGGGGATCAAAACCCTAGACCCTAAACCCAAGCTCCAAACCCTACGTAGGCCCGACTTCAGTCAGACAAAGCCGACTAGCTCGGAGTAGTCGAGTAGGCAACCCTCAGCCTTCGTCGGGCTCGTATAGCCCATGTAATACATATATGATTACATTATATATATATATATATATATATATATGTGCGCGTATATGTATATGTATATGTTTACACATACATACCTATATATATACACATTTCATATATGGGTATATATCTATGGATATGTATATACATGTGTGTGTATATATATATGTATATACATATATGTATATATGTATATATACATATATGTATATATGTATACGTGTATATATTATACATCTAAGTATATATGCATGTAGAGGTATAGGTGTGTACTCAGAAGTTTTATAGATATGCTAAGCTTTCGTAGGGTGTTATTCCAAAGGAGTACAGCACCGATCCCAAGCCTGAATCTTTCTTAACCAAAAGCCCTAAAACAACACGAACAAGCTAAACCTCTCGGTGCCTTTTCCTATAGACGAACCTTCACGAAAACCTATGAATCCGTCAAAACGCTCCGTAAGCCTCTGGAGGCCATTAGCAGCGTCGAAGCAGGTCCGCCCCAAGGCGGATGCGCAAGCCCATGCCTGTTGCAACTCGCTCCGGGGTTTAGGAGGCGTAGGGTTGAGGTTTAGGATATTGTGGGTTAGGAGTTTAGGGTTCAGCACTGTTCTCCAACACCCTAAACAACTCTAAACCCTGAGCCAGAGACCCTAAACCCCCAGGTTCACGGGCAGTAAAAAGTGGGGATATACGTCACATTATGTCTTAGAGCTGTAGTTTTCCTGCTTGTGACCCCATTTCTAACTAGCCATGAACTTCCACGAATTTCCCCTCAACCCTAAATACTAAACCCTGATGCCTTTTCCGGGCACCGTTTTGTTCGTTTCAGGTTTTCGGGCGGCCGGCCTTCCTCAACGGGTAGAAGAGCTGCCCAGCGAGGCTTGCGTCTTAAAGGAAGACTCTTCTAGGGTTCATAGCATATTTATCATGCATTATAGTATCTTGTGGTACATCGTCGTATCTTGTAGTTCCGTATAGTACATAATAGTATGTTATAGACTCTTCTAGGGGTTATCGTGCATTTGTAGTACCATGTAGTACATTATAGCATCTTGTAGACTGAGACGGATCAAGGATATGTAGCCTTGCAGAGCGAGATTCCGATAGGGAATGGTGAAGGGTCTAGGGTTGAGTGTTCGGATAGAAGAGCAGCGATACCGTCTTCTACGTCTCAGGCCTTCACAGAAGGTGTGCCCTAAACCCCAAACGCTAGACCGTATTGTTATCAGGGTGCTCCGACCGGGGCCTTGGGCGTTGGAGTGGAGGGGCCTTATGGGGTTTAGGGTTTAGGGTGTAGGGGTCTTAGGGTCAGGGTTAGGATCTAGGGATCTTAGGGCTTCAGGGTTCTATGGCTTCGAGGGTAGGGCTTTGGATGCTCAAGAAAAGTTTTCACGAAGTCACCTTTCCGGGCCCTTCAACCCTTTGCAATGCAAGCTCCTTTGGAACTCAAGCGGAACCCTAAATCGTAAATCCTAAACCCCGACTACATCTACCGCTACTATATGTTCCACTAAGTTGAGGGCAAGACGCCAGCGCTTCTTTGGAGAAAGGGTGCACATCAACTTAAAAAAACGAAGCAAGCAGAGGCGGGAACCGACCATCCCAATCATGCCGTGGGTCGCGTGATCCTCCCGGAGAGCATCCCGAAAGGCACCAAGGGAGTTGGGTTTAGCGAGCTTTTCGGGTTGAGGGTTTAGGGTTCGCGTTCAGGGTTTGGGGTTTAGGGTTTGGGGGCTTTTCGGGTGTAGGGTTTGAGGAGTTTTCGGTCATCCTCGCGAATTTTAACAAAGGCCCATGATTGCAACATATACCTGCTGCCTTGGCGTGAAGGCTGCCAGATGCTCGGCTGATTCATAGAACCCCGTATTCCTTATAACCCTGAGCCCTAAACCCTAATCCCTTGTATTAAAGTGCCAGGCTAGGCTGTAGTGCTGTTCGTACCCTTCAGAAGTACCCTGACATATTACCCTCATACAGTACCCTTACGTAGAATCCTTTTTGACCCTACACTCTATAAGCCCTAACCCTAAACCCTAACCCCTTATTGAAAAGTAGTAACTTCCTATAGTATCCCTACATAGGATCCCATCTACAAAAGCAAGCCCAAGTTGTAAACGGACTTCATGTATTTTGCCATAATAAGGAAGCCATATTATTCCCTATAGACCCTAATTATTATTGTAACCTAAACTAAACTCCTGAAGCCCTAAACCCTTATAGGCTCTTCAAAGGAACCCTTATAATTATAGATCCCTGTAAAGGAGCTTAAATACCCAAAGGGTCCAAGTATCATTATGGTATATACTTATAGGGTATTTTGGGGGTCTAAGTATATACCATAATGATACTTGGACCATTTGGGATACCCTAAACCCCTAAACCCTAAACCCCTAAACCCTAAACCCTTAAACCCCTAAACCCCTAAACCCTAAACCCTGAACCCTAAACACTTAACAAGAGCCCGGTAGAAAGCCAGGTCTCACAGTCCTGAAAGTAGACCCCCTAATATGGGGCCCTATACTACTAAGGGTACTTTATAGGAACCTCCATTAAGGTATCTACTTTTTGGATCCTCCCGGGTGGTCTGGGAAGCCAGGTCTCAAACCCCTAAACCCTTATATAAACCTTAAACCCTATATAAAACCTAAACCCTAAACCCTATATGAACCCTAAACCCTAAACCCTATATAAACCCTAAACCCTATATAAGCCCTAAACCCGAATCCCGAAGCTTGGAAGCCCTGGGAAGCCAGGTCTCACAGTCCTGGAGCAGCTGACCTACCTCGGCTTCGACCTTCGGCCGGCGGAGCGGGGACCTCAGAACTGTCGCTCAGTAGGGGTTTAGGATTTCGGGTTTAAGATTTATAGGGTCGGGGAAGTATAGGTTTTAGATTTCGGGTTTAAGATTTACAGGGTTTAGGGTTTATGAGTTTAAGATTTCGGGTTTAAGACTGACTTGGGGGTTTAGGATTCAGGGGTTTAGGGCTTGTTTTTTGTTGCTGAAGGGCTCAATGTTAGATGCTGAGAGCTCTGAACGGGCTTCGGGTGTTTAGGTGCTTTTTTGAAATTGCAAAACTCCAGCAAGAAAGGATGTTCGTAGGGTTCAACTATAGGATTGTAGATTTGGGGTGAGGCTTTTGGGTTTAGAAGTTTACCGGGGTTCAGGAACGTGTGATTTGTCGTCAGGCTCGAGAGGATTTTGTCGTCGTTGTCGTTGTTGTCGTCGTTTGCCGTTGGCTTCATCGTCGTCGTTGTGGTTGTTGTGGCCGTCGTTGTCCGTCGCTTGTCAGGTTCAGGCGTTCTGGAAGAGTTGCTGAAGGGAAGGTTGCAGTCGTCCTAGGGGCTGCCTCTAGCATTCTATTTGTAGGCTTGAAGATCCTAGACTCGATCATCGCAGTCAGCGGTCAAGAAGAGGCATGGGTACGAGTTGCCGGATATGCCCGACGCTGTTTCGTTGCTTTCACTGTCCTTCAGGTGCCCTTAGTTCTCTGATCCGTTTGGAGGCCTTCCATAGGGTGTAGCAGCAAGCAAGTAGGCTTAGGGTTCTGCTTTGGGCTCAAGGATCCTTCACAAGCGCAAATCGCAGAGCTGGGTCAACCGCAACCCACCCCATCACTTTCTACATCTATCCTAAAAGCCCAGCGACGAGGCCTCAATGGTCAACCCCTAAGTAAAAAGCTTAGCACGCAGT